CCCCCCCCCCACCAAGATGAATTTTCCACGCTTTGAAATCGTAATGATTTTCAAGAATCGATTATTTTTGTCTACCGTTTGTATTGTCCGTCTCTTACATCCTGCGCGTGCCTCGTCGGTCACATTTTGTTTAAATTTCGCGTAGCTTGTAAGGGAGCAGCCCTGCATGCAATGCCCTGCAAATGTTCTAAATACATTTTAAATCAGGGCCCACCAACCAACCCAGCAACCCCAACAACAACGAGTCAACTCTTTGCATCGGACAGCTGCTGCAGTGATTGCGACGTCTCAAATCGCCCCGTTCAACACGTGGCGCAGGTATTCTTAAGAATTCTCAAGCAACGTAACCACCGACAACGCAACGATTCGTCCTGAGAGGCTCTCGTGATCCGGATACAGTAGAGAGACGGTGGTGGTGGTGACGATGATGAAACGAATGCCGGCTGTAATGTAATGTGCACGTACAGCGATTTATGTTTTGTTGAGAACCTCCCCGCGCCGTGCCGGGTATTCTATCAAAGCGGGCGCTTTGCGGGGGGAGTTCACCAAATGAACACGTGGAACCGTCAAGTCAAAAGTATGCAACCATTATCTTAAATTATTTCGTGTACAGTGTTTAAGTAACGCAAGTTACGCAACGATAGCATCGCCAGGCAAACGATGCAAACATATCTCTCTATGAAATGTATCAATGGTGCAAATTTGCCACAGGCAATTGGGTGATCAGAGGCAGCATGAGAGAGTGACATTTGCATTCTCAATCGATGTTGGTGGTGGTGATGGGGAGCGGTGACGCAGCGGTTCGCGTGCGGCGCTACGAGCCCGGCCACCCGAGTTCGATTCCCGTTCACGGTCCATAACAAACACCAGTGAGGCTCATCTGAAGCGGTCCTGCGCCCCCCCGAGGTCGACTCAGCCTTAAATGAGTGCCTGGTCCCATGTGCAAACATCGCAACTAGGGAGACAAAGGTGACCGGGCGTGGTGCTACCCCCTCGTGTTAATTGGTGCTCGTTAACAGGACTTGCTCCTACAGCCTGTTGAGACGACAGTGTACGGGGGGATCGTTGTATATGGTGGTCGTGATGGCAGTGATTAGGATGCCCATCAAAATTGCGGTTTCCCAATAGCTGCAAATTTGGAGGGCTTAGTGCGGTGATTTCAAAAGCCACTCCACCCCTTAGCTACCACACACCCCCAGCCACCAGCCAAGTCACCCCACAACCCCCTCACCCCAGCCACTCAACCCTCAGGCACCACAATCCCATATCCACCGCACTCCTGGGCCCTCGCATTAAAATAATATCCACCCAGGAAAGCCTCAGTGTCGAGATTGTTACACGAGGCTTCTGATGAATTGGGATTTTTGGACAATTCTCTCAACGGCTTTACACGGGAGGGTACCGGAGAAAACCCAACACGCATACGCGGGAACACAGCAGAAACGAGATGGCACAAATAACATCGACGATTGCAGTAATGTACAATAATAGAAACGAGCCAAAATAAAATCCTTTCTCAAATCGAACAAATTATTCGGTGATGCTGCGTTGGTAGTAGTGCCCAAGCATAAATAACAAAACCTCAGCACATTCGCAAAACAACACAAGCTTTAAAGCCTTAAATGGAAAAACAACATAAAATAGGCGCGACGTTTCTCCTTTTAAATACAAAACGTCGCTTTCTACGCAGTCATTCTTCGACGAAGAAGTGCCATTGCCCGAAACGTCGCCTGTAAATTGAATAATCGGCCGTGACCCACCCCATCCCCCCCTTTTCGTGACAATTCGTCTGCTGGAGGATGATGACCGCTGCCATTATTCGTGATCCTTGCTCCCCCTCCATTCCGTGACCGCCCACGGCGACCTCAAAGTCGCGCCCGTCTTGCTCTCGCAAAGTGGTTTTCCTCCCGTCGACCTTAATGTGCCGTACAGTGAGTTGAACTTCTTTCGCACCGTACGTAGCCGACCGTGCTCATCAGGAAATGTATCATCCAATTCACAGATCGTTTGCTGACAGGGTGAAACATATCGTTTCTTACCCTCCCGATGATCAGTGACACTCGGAAGTGAGCGCAATCCGTTGGATCAGTTTAATCGATTACGTAATGACGATTACTCGTTACATGCCTCGTGCAGCCCTTTTTCAATCCACTGCTGGATGAAGGTCTCCCTCGTCAGTTATGGGGTTGTTTGGCCATACTTCACCACGCCGGTCAGTACACGTTGAAGGGGCGGAGGGGCAGGAGGGTGCTCAGAACCGTACTAATAGGGGTTTTCCCCTTTTTTTTCTCGCAACAAAACTGACACCTTTTGCAAGGAATCATGCTTACATTAACCACAATACTTGCAGTCAAATGCAAACAAAAAACAATACTCTGATAATTTATGCATTGTCCTTGAAACTGATTGGTCCACACCAGAGACAGCTTTCTTTCGAGCCTAGTCTCATATGGTGTTCGACCACATTACGCCAAAAGGCGCACAGTTCAAAGACAACGCACTGCCTCTTCTTGGTTCTTTCGGTAAAGTCACGTAGAAGGGAAGTAATAAAATAATAAAAATAAAACATGTGACTTTACCGAAAGAACCAAGAAGATGAATCCCTGCAGTCACGAAAGCTTTAAATCGAAATACAACGCACTGCATTTGACTGCAAGTATTGTGGTTAATGTAAGCATGATTGCTTGCAAAAGGCGTCAGTTTTGTTGCCAGATAAAAAAAGGGGAAAACCCCTATTAGTATGTTTTGGTACTGGCAAAGGAGGTCCCATCATGCCCAGGACCGGTTCAGGCAATCCCTCGACACTGATGTTCATCGTTGCCGAGAATCGAACTCGTCCGGGTTACCATTGCTCCAACGCTTGGTACTGTGGCTAATACCACACCCGGCCGCCTTTGTCTCCCCAGCGCAGGCGTTCGCGAACCGCGCCGAGCACTCATTTAAAGCCGAGTCAACCATTGGGACATCGATGTCAGGTTCTGACACCACTTGCGTTCGAAATTACCCAGTTGGGAGGAATGAAACCCATCCCAGTCAACACGCAAAGTTGGTACAACGTTGGCATCTGATTGCAACCGTTGGGCCAACGTTGGCTCAACGTTCAACATTTTATGGGAATGCCCGGTTAGCATTTTAATACGCTAACCATTGCACCACCGTTCCACACACACACACGTGGATGCATACAGAGCCAACGACCCCGCGCGTAGCCAGCCTCCTTACAGAGTGCTGTTAGCGAGCGCCAATTATAGGGCAGGCACCGACACAGAGGGAAAGTGTGGCCACCTCTGTCTCATTGACGATACACGCAGAAAAATGTGCACACGTACACACGGATCCAAATGTGAGTGCACAAGCTACAGGGACACTCGCACAAGACAATGACACCCCACCCCCAAGCAGCCGACCCTCTCAAGCCCGTGACAGATGACAATATTGGTGGCAAGCGCCGTTAGCGAGGAGCGGCACCCAGAAAAAGGTGGCACGTGCACACGTAAAACGCAGCTCGAGTCTCGGCTTGCTACGGTGCGGTCATCTGGACAAATCATGCCTGGGGTTCATTCCCCAGAACGTGCCGAGGTCACCACCTTCCTATGTGCATGCAGTCTATGTAAACTAAACTATTCCTGTTATTTTACCAGGTGAGGCCCTCTGAGCTATGTGGCTCTTTTTTTTTGTAAACGCATGTTTCTACATGTGGAGGGAGGGTGAAAAAAAATTAACCCGCAAGGACCCGGAGAAAAATCGACGCGACCACGGGGAGAGAGAGAGCGAGCCCACGACCCCCTTGCATACCATGCGAGGGAGTTAACATCTCCGAGCCACCGTGATGATGATGAGACGCGCAAACTCCCAAATATACAGCAGGGGTCAGGGTCGGGATCGAACCCACGACCACCTTGAATACCAGGCGAGGGAGTTAACATCTCCGAGTCACCGTGGCACGCCTCATCAACAACGACTCTTCGCCTCTTTATGCATCGGGCAACGTCACCGCCGCGCTTGTGCCAGGCTAGGTCGCACGCCCAGAGCACGTGGAGACTCGCGGGCAGGTCACGTGTAAGCCGACCGAGTTGACTGGCATCTTGATGCGCCATGCAATGTCTCTTCCCTCCCTCCACACTGCGCCACGTTGCAGCGATTTATCCGCTCCTCCCCGCTCCCCCCCGGCTATCTTGCTCGTCGTTGTGAGAGTTATTCTTTGTGAACAAATACAATAGACACCCTTCACCCGGAGCCGTCCCTAGAGGCGACCGCCCCGGGCCCCGCGCTTGGGGGGGTAAGGGCAGGAGGGGGGGCGCACGAACGGGGGAAGGGGGTTCGTGCGGCGAGCGCCACGCCTCGTCGGCCGCCCCGGTTTTCCGCACAGTTGCCGACGTTTTACTCCGCGCGCACCGATTTAAGGCCGAGTAGACCTAGGGGTGGAAGGCACGACCGCAGGTACCCCGCCGCCGCTCTTCACGCGTTTCGTGAGCGATGTTATGGCCCGCGAGGCTCGAACGGAACTCGGGTCACAGCAACAACAACATCCCGACCCACCCACCGCCTCGCCGCGTTTTATCCACCCCGCGCCCCTGCGCCCGTTGTTGTGAGCGTACGTGGCGGGCACGGACGCGGCACCGCGCCTCTCGACTCGCCCCCTATGGGAAGTGACGCCCGAGCGGAATTTTCCTTTGCGCGGTGCCCCGGGGGGGCTCGGGGTAGGCGGCTCCAAGCTCCGCGCTCCCCATTGGGTCGCCGCCTCACGCCCACGGGGCACCATTGGTCGGGGGCTCAGACGCCTTCTATTTCGAGGGGATGATCTCGGAATCTGTGAGCACGACCCTCCCCCCCCCCATGCATCCACCACGCACCCCACCGTCCTCCCGCACCATCCTCCTGCTCGCCGGCGCTCACTCTGTGTGTGCGCGCCACCCGTCCGCCCGTCCCCCGGCGAATCTGAGATAGAATTACCGCTCCCCTCCCCCTACCCAGCTACCCACCCACCCAGCCACCCATCCATCCACTCACCCACCCCCCTACCTCTGTGCTCCCGCTCGCCACAATCACCCCCCACTACCTCCATCAGCCACCTTCCTGCTGTACGCGTGGCTCCTCCTATCACTCGCGTGCAGTGCCGCCCGCGAAGCGCAGCTCAACGATTCACGTCCACGCGCCCACACGCAGAAGAGACACACACAGAAGAGACACACACACAGAGAAGAGAGACACACACAGAAGAAACACACACACAGAGAAGAGAGACACACAGAAGAGACACACAAACAGAGAGACGCGGAGAGACACACACAGAAGAGACGCACACACACGAGACACACAGAAGAGAGACACAGAAGAGAGACACACACGAAACACACACACGCGAGACACACACAGAAGAGAGACACACACACACGAGACACACACACACGAGACACACACAGAGAGACGCTGAGAGACGTAGCGAGGCGCGCGCACACGTGTGCACACGCGTCCACTCGACCCATTCAACAGCAAGGACAGATCCGGCGAGCGAGACGTCTCATTGCACATCATCACCACCACCACCAGGAGCAGCTGCATCGTCAGGGCACCGGAGTGAAGGCTGAAGTTTGGAGCGCGTGGAGGGGTTTGCGGCGCGAAGGATGGACATGGCTCTGGATTTCGCGGCTGGGTGCATGGGAGGTGCGTGAACTCAGCACCACCACCACCACCACAATCCTCTCGCAGCGCGGCGAGTTTGCACGATCCATTCATCCGCACACGAGGGTCGCGGTCGTGGTGATTGTGACGATGATGTTTCTGGCGCGGTGGGAAGAGGGGGGGTGGGTGTGTGAGAATGCTGCACTGCGTAGTGGGACGAGATGTGGAGAGAGGGTGATGATGGAGAGCGAGAGAAGGAGAGGGGTGGGGTGAAACGGCGAGCCCAAGGCGCACGCAAACGCGGAGCAGCAGCTGAGCCGGCATCACCGTCTGCAGCCCGCGGGCTCCGCGTTCTCGAACAATCCAAACCGGAGCGCACGAACGGTCTCGCCTCTCGCGTATCCCAAGTCCCCGCATCGTTCACGGTTGCAAGTAGTGTACCTGCCCGGCGTTGAATGACAGCCCCCCCACCCCACCGCCTCTCCTCCAACTTCTACACCTCCTGCCACCCCCAACGCCCCCCCCAAACCCTCTCCCCCTCGGGCCCCCTCCGCGCCCCCCCCCCCCCCCCACTGTTACGATTTTGACATTGATTTGGGGGTGGAGCGGTGGCGCAGTGGTTGGCGCACTGCGCTGCTCACCCGGCCGCCTTGAGTTCGATTCCCGGCTGCCGTTGCCAGCGAGGGGTATACATTTGTATAAGCAGCACCCCGTTCTGTGGCTCCACGTACACAACCGGCGTAGTTCTAGTCCGTCGGCCTATTATCAACGTTACCAATCACCATCAGTGGCCCGAGTGAACGCTAAACTGGGCACCCTCGTCCCGTCGCCAAGCCTCACTGACACAGTGTGGCGAGGTATGGTCAAACAACCCCCAATTGCCGACACGGCATTGAGAGGGCCTTCGTCGCAGTGGTGGATGCACGAAGGGCTGTACATGATTATCTTTCATTCTTACCTTGCCGGCTGTGAGCTGTGTGCGTGTGATCACTTTGCGAATAGGGTTGGAGGCTTCCTTTGTAGAGTAACCTGCATCGTGTAAATTGCCAAAGAGGCACGCAAAGCCACTTATCTCAGACGACCTCAGCGAGTTTTGAAGACTTGTCTTTCAGGGGCGTCTTGCATTTGGATATTTGCCCAGTTCCCTAGCGACTTAAAGCACTGTATATACAAATTGCATTCCATGTTGCATAACGATGGCGACGATTGTATTGGTGTGTTGTGTATGTATTACGTGTAAGTACGTGGCATTGTCAGGCATGATTTATCCACTGCTGGATGAAGGCCCTCACTCACACTGCTGTGACACAAGCCATCATTGCTCCTTCGCATGAGCTGATCACATTGCTCCATGTTCCCTGTTGTCTTTCTTGGGATCATTCTCTCATTTGGCTGCCATTCCATCAACAGTCGAGTCCCGTCGGCCATCATCGCTTCTATCGATGACCTGCCCCAAGCCCATTGCCTGAACATTCGGCGCGATGTCTTTGAGCTTCCAATGCTGCTGCTGCAATGAAGCGCTCCTGGAGGGCCACGTGGCTGATGGGATGTGTTTAACATGCAAAGATAATTTACCTGGAGAGACATATGTGAAGGAGGCATATTGTCTATTTATTTAGCCACTATTGAGACATCACTTTAATGTTTTTCCTGCCAAGAGTGCAATTCATGGGTGATGCCACAAAGCACGAATACATTTTACTTTGGTACAGAATGTATGATCCCAATATTGGAAAAAATCTCCAGGGATGTATCCAATCCTCTTCCATAATTTGTAGGTATTGCACAGCATGTCAGCTACATTATCATTCGGGCTATGTGTCGGTGGCCACTTGTGAAATAGGCCTTCGGGCCTGTGATCAGCATCAGTATGCGCAGTGGTGGAAATGGGCTGGAACGCCGCGGTGGTAGTGAACATTTTAACCCGACTGTGTTCCCGGTAGGAATCAAGAATTCATTTTTTTTATTTAATTTGTATGTGACTCACAGACAGACCCCTCGGGTAACAGACACGCACAGAAACCCACAGACACGCACAGAAACCTACAGACACGCTCAGAGACCCACACATGGAGCGAAACTCCTGCTCAGATTTAGTGAGGGTGGGGGGACTGATTTATTAGATCCCGCAGTAATTTCTTCCCCTATCCAGCCCTGGATATACAGCTGTGAGATGGTCAGGAGATGGCAGTACAGTCATGAATTCTTGATCAATCTGGTCAGAATTTTGAGTGTCACCTCTTTTGCGTGGTGGGGTTTCTCCTGGTATTACTGGGTCCCCACCCCCCATGTATTATTACTCTGCTTGTTTTACCCAGGAAAGCCTCACTTAGTCTCAAGACTCTTCCAGGAGGGTCCTGTTAAGTTGTCACAATCGGGAGCGACTTTGCTGCTGTGTGTAATCCCAATTGAGTAATTTACAGATAATTCGATCTTGATTTGAAGCGTTTGTGACTGCAGGGATCCATACTCTTTGGTTCTGTCGGTAAAGTCACGTAGGTATAAATAAAACAAAATAAATCGCGACGTTTCGATAGCAACACAAGCCATCGTCTTCAGGTGAAAATCGCGATAGCCGCGATGTCTGCTGCGAGCAGCACGATGTCTGCTGCCTTGTTTTATTTCTACCTACGTTACAGATAATTGTCCGGCATTGGGATGTTTGGCCAATACCAGTTACACTGTGCGTGTTTTTGCAGCTATGGGAGGTAATCAGAGAACCCGGAGTAAACGCACACATGTGCAACACGCCACACAGAAAGATGCTCGAGTAGGGGATCGAACCCAGGCCCTCCTTTCTGTGAGACACAAGTGCTACAATTGTGCCACCCTGCGGCCCACTTGATACCAAACATTCATGTAATTGGCAAAACATCCTAATTTGCAACTCTTCCGAAAAACCGTCTTGATACTCCGTTATATTTTGCTGGGTAAATAAATGGCAGAGTGAGCACAGATTGAAATTGACTCTTCATTGAACCAGTGGATGGGGGAGACTATGGTGCACGGTCCCATAAGTCAGCAACTCAACACAGTGGTTTCCAGATCATCCTACTGTGTCTACAGCCTCGTGTCAGTGGTGGAAATTCCACATTCATATGGCAGGTACAAATCGTACCAATCCATCGGTGAGCCACTCCATTTGGGTCGTGGAGGGTTATTTGACCATGCTTCATCACGCTGGTCAGAGTGGCTTGGGGAATGTTGGGCGCATAGATGTTGGAGCATAGCACAATACAACAGTGAATTTTTATGGTGATACAAACCAGTGACTAGTGAATAATAAAAACCCATTGATTCCTGCATGCACAGCAATGCGTGTATCGTTAGTTTCAAAACCAATATGAATCGATACATTGCATCATTCTACCCCTCAATAAATAGTGCAGGTCCACAGCAAGGGTTCCGAACTGATTGATACGCATGAGGTGTACACTACATTCTGAAAAGTGTTACATTCTCACGTTAACCCTAACTTGCACCTATGACCACATCGCCCGGAGTTAGCCTGATCTCGGCAGAGTTCGGAAACTAAGCAGGGCTCAGCCTGGGTAGTGAGTGGATGGGGGAGACTATGGTGCATAAAGCGAGTGCTGTGGGTGGATGCGGGGGCCACGTTATTAACAGAGGGCTGTGCAGCAAAATCCACTGCTTGTACTGTGCTCCAAACGTCTGTGTCCTGCCTTCACCAACCCGCACTGACCAGCATGGAAAAGTGCGGTCAAATAACCTCCACAACCTGCACGGAGCATCTCCAGTTTCGCCGCCCCTCCGACTAGCACAGTTGGCGACGTACGGTGTAAAAACAAGGTTCCGCATACACACGGAGCAGTTCTCCTACGGATTGGTACGATTTGTGCCTGCCATAGCTGTGTGAAATTTCCACCACTGAATCGAAGCTGAAGGCGGTAAGATGATCTGCATAACCACGTGGCATTTTTGAGTCGCTGACCCCGTGGATTCGTGCCTCATTGTGGCTCAATGAGAAAATACAAGTGCCCCTCAGCTGTTCCCATGTCAGCAATAACTTTAAATCTGCGCTCACTCCTGGTAAAGTCCGCATGTAGCCCACACACAATATGACAACCGTGATAATCATCCAAGCCGTCCAGCAAAGCCTCACTGAGTCTCGAGACTCACTAGCGTTCGGCTACATTGGAATGTTTGGCCAGTTCTTTGTGTGAGTGTTTGGCTTTGTGTGGGGGTTAAACAAACTACAATACCCACAATGCATACGAGGAGGAGACACACTCAAAGTTTCAAACAGATGGATTCTTGAATCCATCTGTTTGGAATCAATTACCGTATTGCCATCTCATGCCCAGTTTTCAGCCATGTTTTGATATTACACTTGCTGATCACAGGTCCAAACGCCCATAACACAAAGCGGCCAGCAACAAATGGCACTAACGATGTTGCCAATACAAATGCATTTCTTTAATTGAACAGAATGCACAAAAGCGCCGGGTTATTACATTGATGCATCTCGTCCGTGCATTGCAGGGGCAGTCGTGGTTTTTGCCGACCGCCCAAAACTTCTATCTGCCGAGTTTATTGATTGAAAGTTTTTTAAGGTTTTTTTTTTCCACAAAGCAAAGATTTGCGAGGGTCGCGCTGCCAAAAAGGATGGCAAAGTCCCTTCATCTCGTGCGTGCGCGCCGTGACCTCCTCGTCTCTCCCGCTTCCCCCAGTCCCCAGTCCACCAGCCCCCCCCCCACCCGACTTCCCAGCCCTAACCTCTCCACGGCAGGGGTGGGAGTAGGGGGGGTGCAATGGAAGGAACCAACCTGCCCTTTTAACCTGATGCTCAATGCGGAGCCCCTGAGAAATGGGTCTTGGCAGGCAGCCACCTGCCTCTCGCATTTTTCTCCGTCTCTGCTCTGCAGAACATTCCTTGCCTGGACGTTTCATTAATTTCAGGTTCAAGGAAGAGTTCGTTCCATGAATGAGCCCGGGGAGAAATTGTCAGGTTCAGCTTTTTGCAGAAACTGGTCTTTCAACGCAGGTGCATGCACGCAGAATGCTAGCAATGTCATGGTAATGATAGGGTAAGCAACTTTTAAGTTCATGGAATGGAACGTGGAAATGAAGGGTTATTAACGCAATCGGGGAGAGGAGGTTGTAACGGGAGAGATGTGCAGAATGGAAACGCATAGGGTAAGTGACTTGGAGGTGTTGAATGTAACGTAGCAAACAAATAATTGTGGATGTGACGATAGGTGGGCTTCGTGTGCAGGGTGCAGCAGGGTGCAGCAGGGGGCAGCAGAGTGCAGCAGGGTGCAGCAGGGTGCAGCAGGGCAGATGACTCACACGGGCATTGGAATGGCACACAGAAGGTCGGTGATTAAGCGGAAGTGATAATGATTCACTGTGTAACAAACAAAAATTTGTTCCTGGGTAGTAAGTGTTATTTCCTAATTGCTTATGCTTCAAAAGTACAGAAAAATGGCTATTATTCCCCACAAACTTTGTTTTTGTGACCAGGACATTGATATTTTGAAATTTACCTATTTTCAATGAGAAAACGCGTGCATTTGTGTTATTCCGTTCACATAAAGTCCCGGTCACAAGAGCAAAGTTTGTGGGGAATAATAGCCATTTCCTATACTTTTGAGGCATAAGCTAGAAAACAACACTTACTACCCAGGAACAAAAATCGTGTTACACAGTATAATGAGCGTAAGAGAAGCCGTCCTTAAAAAAAATTTGTCTGATTTACCAGCGACGGGACCAAGCAGTACGAATGAGGCAAGAGCGAGGTGTATTGGCATCCTTGGCATGACCTGTCACAAACATTCCGCTTAGGGGATGCAGGGGAGGGAGAGAACGGGTTTTCTGCCACGGGTTACCTTCATATTTGCACCGCCCCGACCCCCACCCCCAGTCTCCGCCCTGCCTCCTCCTCCCACATGCCCCCCACGTGCCCGAGGCGCTCGGGATACATTTCATTGACAAGGCCATGTGCCTGGCACGCGGTGCATGGGGCGTACGCTCTGCCCACTTGACCACAAGTCCAAACATTGAGATTATATTCCACTTGTGATATCGGCCTCATCTTCTCACGAGGGTGCAAGACAATTACGTCCAGGATTCCCGCAGAGCAGCGATGATGCTTCGTCACCCCACGTCTGAAAACGGCCTTTAGAAGCAGATGTTACACTATGAGACCTCCTTTACCAGTGGCAACATATAGTAGTCGGTTTTTACCCTTTAAACTGGTACAAAACTGACACCTTTATATTGAAGTTGATTGGTCCACACCTGGACCAATCAACTTCAAGGACAGTGCATATTAATATCATTATCAGAGTTGTTTCTTTTTGTTTGCATTTTGACTGCTTGTGTTGTGGTTGTTGCAAACATGAAGCCTTGTATAAAGGTGTCAGTTTTGTACCAGTTTAAAGGGTAAAAACCTACTACTAAGCAGATGTAACATCACTACTTGTGAGATCCCTTCAAGTGACCTCTCCTATACGCTTGATGTTGCTACACTTTCTCACAAACCTAGGACCATAGCGCACTGCGCTAACATAACCGCACCACCGTTTCCTTAACTTGCAGGCGCTCTTATAAACTGTGGACAAAAAACGTAATTTTAAGTTTCCCTGATCGTGTTGAATCTCGGAAGTTAAGCAGCTTTCTGCCCGATTAACACCTGGATGGGAGACTCGTTGTAAATACCACGTGTTGTAGGTGTGGGCTGAGGGGCGGTCAGTAGATGGCAGGGGTCAGTGCACCCCCAATCACCCCCCCCACCCACCGCCTAGTCTGCAGGTTCATAGCGTGACGCGCTAACCTCTGCACCACCTTTCCCACTCGTTCGCATACCTCAACTCGCACCTCGTCACGTACTGCTCCCAGAAAAGGCACGCGCGCCGCTGTTGTTGACTAAATCAGTGACTCGCCGTCAACTCCGCGAGGCTGGCGTCATCACCGCGTGTGCGGTGTTCTCGTGAAGAACATTCGCGAGGTACAACGCGTACACGATGCCCGTTGCTTTCACCGACAGCACAAAGTGCCACTGGTTATGAGCTTTCCTCTGCTCTTGCAAGGGCCATTTTAACAACAATGCAACAACGTGGACGTCCAGAATAAACACCTCATTCGAGACTCAAACATCATCGCGCCTCCTGGCTTTGGCATTGCTCAGAGACACCGTTTTAACTATCTATCAGTCGCATCAGAACATCAACAGGCCAATGCACGCATCTTCTTCATACATCGAAAATGAGAGACACGCGCCACAGATGTGTGATTGTGGCCATGCAGCCTAAACTTTGGTGCGTAGAGAAAACCACTGGACTTTAGCTCCTGAACATATTGCTGTTGCCATCATAAGCAAGAATAGAATAGCAATGCCTTTTACATTACTCAGGAAAAAATTTAGTCTGAAAGTTTTTTTTTTAGGAGGGTCCTGCATTGGGACGATCGGCACATTTCATAGACGAGTGTTTGGCTTCACGTGGGAGGAATTTGGGATGTGAGCAGCTTTACGGACTGATTTGAGGGTGGAGAGTGGAGACGATTTGAGAGACAAAGAAAGGAGGGGGGGGGGGCAGGAGGAGTTATTGGTGCTTGGGTAGAGTGAGGTTGAGAGTGGGGGGAGAGGAGATGGGGGGGCACGCGATACCCCCCCTGGTCCTCTCGCACCTGACCCGGACGCGTGTGGCTCTCCCCGGCAGGTGCCGCCGGAGTGGTCGTGGGGCACCCCTTCGACACGGTGAAGGTGAGGGCCGAGAGAAGGTGGAGAGCGTGTGGGGAGCCACCACAACGCGGGCTGTCCCCCTCCAACCCCTCCCGATGCCGTGTTATACCATAAACAACACACAGTTACATACACACAGCCTGCTACGTACACATACACCAAACTGCATAGCAATGCATACACACTATGCAATATGCACATACCAAAGACACGACAGATACATACTTACAACAACAACCACCGTTGACCACTGAGTCGAGGTGACATCGCCACAGGGCTTATACCAGACTAGGTGCACTTTCACGAGCCTCTTCCACAGAGGTCGATCTCGACACCGCTGGCACCAGTCATTGGCAAGTCCAATCATCTCTACATTCATCTTCTGTACATCACTTTTCTTGCCAATTCTATGTCCGTTTAACCCCCCCCCCCCCCCCCCCCGCCAAATAGAAGTTGCTTGGCCCTGCGGTGGCTGGGCATATGAGCTACATGAATCAGCCTTGCCTGCTGGAGGAGCTCATTGATGGGACTGTGTCCGGATCTCTCAAGGATCTATGAGCTCCTCACAAAACCCAGTCGGGTTAAACTCGGGGTGGAACGTAGGCAAGCCACCCTGATTGTTTCAAAACCGTGAAAAGTGGTCCATGTTTTGCAAGCCTAGGGAAAGGGAGGGCATTACTGTGGCTGAGAAGACCCAGAGCTTCAAGCTTCCACACAGTGTTACGCAGCTGATGAAAATAATGTCGCTCAACCAGGTACTCATTTAAGGCTCAGTTGACCTAGGAGAGGCTCAGGATCGGTTCAGATGATCGGCACACACTCACTCGCACACATATACACTCCATGCACACTCGTACACTGTCTACCGTGTATACCCGATGACAAGAGTGGATTCCATTCGCAAAACATATGATGGGTAATCGGATGCTAATTCCAGACGAATTAAACACCACCACTGGCACGCCTTGGTGGTGAACGGTGAGCAGAGTTGCTTTGACTCTGTGTGAACATTGGCATTTGGGCACTATCCAAGGGAAACTAAATAATGTAAATGTTATGTAACTATTCAGACGCTTGAGCTGCTGGCATTGATACATGCATACACACCTACAAAGATAGATCCCCTGAATAGCCTAAACAAACTTTTTGCGTTGTTAGCAAGCAGCTATGAAGGTCAGCCATGGTACACGAGGGGGTGGGTGGCCAGCACCAAGCCCGGCCGCCTTTGACACCCCAGTGGCTACACTTACACACACCTACACACCTACACACCTACACACCTACACACCTACACACCTACACACATACACACCTACACACCTACACACATACACACATACACACCTACACACCTACACACCTACACACATACACACATACACACCTACACACCTACACATACAAAAAGACACATATTCCCTATACATTCTTAACAGATACACACACGGACACAAATGCAATAAGTTAAGCATGTTTTCTAAACAGGAGCCCTTCACAACAAAGTGCAAGGTGTGTGTGTGTTCACGTGGGGAGCGGTGGCGCAGTGATAAGTTCACTACCCTATGGACCTAGTGGGGCTAGTTCGATTCCTGGCCACGACCAACATTAGCGGTGATTATCTGAGCCAGTCCTAGCTCTTCCCTTGGTTGACTCAGCCAAAAAGGAGTGCATGGCGTATACACACCATTAGCTAGGAAGACAAAGGTGTGGTGCTGGCCACATTACCCACAAGTGTGCTGTTCCAGCCTTCATTGGTGCTCGCAAACAGCACTTACCAGTACAGCCTGTATAGGCTAGCCGGGATGTTCGACTTAATTATGACAGAGTAATGAACGCCCTGTGTGAAGCTTAAATTAATATTTCCATCAATTGATGTAGAAAGCGGGTCATCAGTAAGCGAAATGTGCATGTTCAGGTTTGAGTACTCTTTCCACCTTGGTCACAGAATGCCTCAACACCTGAAATTGATCGACTTACCACCACCCCAGGCAGAAAATGCAAAAGTACGGCGTGTCGATCGTCAGTAGATCTTTCCTGGTAACACGAACTGAACTAGCCAGTGATTCGGCATGTCCACGTGTCAGTCGGGACGAATTTACCCGGGATATCCTCACTCATTCTCAGGATCCATTTTTTTCAAGGAGGGTCCTTTCTACACACTGTGTGGCATGTTTGGCTGAATCCAGCGATGCGAGGAAACTGGAGAGCACCGGTAGAAAACTTACCCCTCATGCGAGGGGATACACGTACAGCTTCACACGGATATATTATGTGCGGAAAGTTGTAAGTGGTTAGTACTTTGATGTCTCCTGTCCAAGCGCTAACCGTGCTCGACCCTGCTTAGGCTCTGAGACTTGACGAGGTGGAGTGCCTTTAGGGTGATTTAGCAATATGCAGTGACATCGCTCACACGCTCTTACCAAGACGCTGACCGTGACTTAAAACTGTTCTTTTTAAATTATCGTGGGGAGCGGTGGCGCAGTGGTTAGCACGCTACCCTACAAACCCAGCAACCTGAGTTTGATTCCCCACTCATGGCCAACGCCAATGTCGATTATCTGAACGAGTCCTGGGCCTCTCCTAGGTAGACTCAGCCTAAAACGAGTACCTGGTGCGGTGTGTAAACGTCGCCACTGGTACTGGCTACCACCCCCACGTGTGCCGTGCCAGCCATCGTAGGTGCTCGCTAACAGCACTTGCCCCAACAGTCTGTTAGGGCTACACGGGAACTCTGTGTGTTTGTGTGAGTGCAGGTGAGGCTGCAGGTGCAGTCCGTGGAGAAGCCTCGGTACCGCGGAACATATCACTGCTTCTCATCCATTGTCAAGCAGGAGTCGGTGAGGCACGCACCCACCAGCCTGGGTTCGACACCGGCTGTCCAACTTGTGCACTCCCTCGACGAGACTAAATGTGGCGGAGTAGCTAGCAGAGGGCGCAGGCGGTACAACTGCCCAGGCTACTAACGTGGAGGAAATTGGACCGGACGCCTCATTTAATTCCTTGCACCAGGGCCCATGCCAACAACGTCACTATGCCACTGGACCAAAAGCTAAACAAAAATAATACTAATGAAAAGTGACGAGGGTCTGTGTCCACTACCAGCTCCATTAACCTCTCGGCCTTCTGTACCGACGTTTGCAGGCTAAACTCTAGACCGGTTTTGACTTCTCCGAATATCACCAGCAGTGTGGGGGTCTGTTTAAAAAAATGCTGCTGGGTTTTTCTGGTGCTGTAGGTAAGAGACCTACAAGAACACCCCATTTAGGGCTGTTACAACAACATTGTACAAAGTGTCGTGGTGGATTGTGGGTAATGATAGATCTTGCTCCATCAGCTTGTGGACTTTGGGATACGAGTTCAAGACGTTGCAGGCACTGAGCCAGCACCGCTGAGATCACGGGCTCTGGCCGCCCGTGATCGAACCGCATTGCGAAGCGAATTGCGTCGATGAGCTCCGCTTCGTTACCAGGGAGACATGGTAATTTATTCGGTAGATTCCTGGTATCTGGATGTTGCCGTCGTGTATAAGTGCGTATGTATGTTAAATTTATTTCGTACCGCACGTAGCCATTTACGCTAATCGGAGGTGCGGGGTAAGGACAACAACTAACACAAAGAGCAGTTCTAAAGAAATTAGTTTTCAATCTAGATTTTAAAAAGCATAGCTCCAGCGGCTTGCTAATATCGTAATGAAGAGCGTTTAGTGGTCAACAAAATAGACCTGCAATTCAGAGGTTACCGGTTCAATTCCATCTCTCGGCACGGCATTCGACGCAATGGGCAAAGTTTCTTCAATACTCCTTCCTCTATTCACGCAGTGCTATATATAGACCCACCACGGCTGATTGGCAGGTCACGTGCGGTGGCATAATCTGTAGGTACTCCCACCCTCTTCCAAGATGGCTGGCCAGTGTTGAGAAGTAGGTCACATAGAGGGCCTCTCCCAGAGGTCCCTCTACTCGGGGCCCATCTGGACTGCCACGTGACAAACACCTCTGTGTCTTGGCATGGGAGGAGGGACTTCAGAAGTAGTTACATGATGTCCTCTTTTAGAATCTGTCATCCGACACCTCTGGTGATCTTAAACTGCTCTCTCCGCGTTATGAATAGAAATGTTATGCTTGATTGTGCAATTGGAACCTAGTGGTGTGGAAGAATAACACAAATACCGAGACTCCCCTCGACTAATACCACCCCGACTCGTTCTTCCACCGCACACCTTCCCCCCCCTAACCCCACCCCCAAAGGCCATGGGTCTGTACAAGGGCATTGGCTCGCCCATGATGGGTCTCACCTTCATCAACGCCATCGTGTTCGGAGTCCAGGGCAACGCCATGCGCCGCCTGGGCCAGGACTCCCCGCGCAACCAGTTCCTGGCGGGCTCGGCGGCGGGCGTGATCCAGTGCGTGATCGCGTGCCCCATGGAGCTCGCCAAGACGCGCATGCAGCTGCAGGGCACGGGCGAGAAGGGCACCAAGAAGAGCTCGCGCCTCTACAAGAGCACGCTCGACTGCCTGCGCAAGATCTACCAGCGCGAGGGCGTGCGCGGCATCAATCGCGGCATGGTGTGCACGCTGCTGCGCGAGACGCCCGCCTTCGGCTTCTACTTCCTCACGTACGACGTGCTCACGCGGCACCTGGGCTGCGAGCCCGACGACCCCGGGCTCATCCCCAAGCTGCTGTTTGCGGGCGGCATGTCGGGCATCGCGTCCTGGCTCTCCACGTACCCGTTCGACGTGGTGAAGTCGCGGCTGCAGGCGGACGGCGTGGGCGGGGAGAGCCGCTACGCCGGCATCACCGATTGCTTCCGGCAGAGCTACCGCCAGGAGGGGTGGCGCATGTTCACTCGCGGGCTCGTGTCCACGCTCCTGCGGGCCTTTCCCGTCAACGCCGCCACCTTCGCCACCGTGACTCTCTTCCTGAGCTACATGCGGGCGGGCGAGGGCAAGGCCGTCGACATGGTGCAGGGAGACCCGGCTGCCGTGGTCCAGCCGACCAACTTGTAAAGGGTGGAAACCAGTGAATAAGGATGGCCGTGGTGGTGGTGGTGGTGATGATAACGATGGAGGTGATGGAGGTGGTGACGGTGGCGGTAATAGAATTAAGAACAGGAAGCCTCATGGCGACACAAGCTCTGGTTGTGGCCTCGTGAAACATAAGAGGAGGTGGAAAGGGATGCAAGAATGTATGACCTCGAGTACTTGACCTTGTTATTGTTACTGTATTAGTATTATTATAACAGTGCGTGCGTGTGTGCGCATGAGTGAATGAGCAGTTTGTCTGGGTTGGGTGAGCGACTTGTTGGACGGTTGAGCGAACGGACACAACGGAGTAAGTGGGTTTTGTTGCGTGTGTGTGTGACTCTGTGGATGCACATGTGGATGGATGTTTCACTCAGCGGAAGTTTACGCGTGGGCTACGTGTGGTCCAGAATGTGAGATGCATGGTCACAAGTTTTCTAACCACCCCCCCACCCGCCCCCGTCTCATCGGAGCGAAACACGTGGTAGGCGCTGCGCAAGGTGCCAACGTAAACATCTCCATGTCCTCGGAAAATCTTGTTCAGCACTTTGATCCTTTCACCGTCGTGGACACTGTGATGTCTCCGGGGCCGCGTCACTCGCGAACTCTGTGCGAGGTCCCGCAGGCGGTCGGGACTCGCGCGCGTCGCGAGATCTGTGGCCGTGGAGCGGCCGAGGGAGCTTCACCAACCGTGGCCTCCGATTTAAGAATCTGGAAGCTCCATTTCCTACGTTAACAGGCACAGACATGTCCTCCAAAAAATAATAATTCATATATCCTGTACATATATAAAATATAACTAAGGGTAGACGTATTGACTGTGTTCATAGGCGCACTCAGCGTGCATTGTTTTGTTGTTTTCTTGCCATTGCTGCTTTGTTGCTGTATAAATATAAAGGGTGCCTTAGCTGGGCCTTTGAAGCCCCTTTTTGACATTTCCTTGCGAGTGTTTCAATCAGCGGTCGCCACTGTGGTGGACAGAGAGTTCGGGTCACCAGGCTGGGTTCGTGCACCACTTTGTGGTTTTGGCCTCACTACCGCAGCCTGGTAGTTTTCTTGTGTGGATTTTACCAAAGCACGCCCCTCTGCTGTCCAGCTGGATGTTAAAGACCCTGTGAGGTCACATGCGAGGGTACGATATTGTGTGCCGACATCAAAGCCAAACACCCGAATGTAAACATTAACTGCGGCTGAAATGTATTTGATTTACATTTTTTAAATTCGGAATTGAGGCCTCCCTTTTACACGAGGCCAAGAAGCCGACTTGACTCTTGCCTTGTTAAATGAAGGACATCGCCTTCGAATCCCGCCCCTCATGCACCTCATTGCTTATGCCTCAAAAGTACAGAAAATGGCAATTATTCCCCACAAACTATGCTTTTGTGACCAGGACAGTGATATTTTGAAATTTACCTATTTTCATTGAGAAAACGAGTGATTTTGTGTCTATTCAATCACATAAAGTCAGAAAAAGCAACATGAATCAAACTTAACATGTATTTATACTGAAGTAATAATACAAAAATTACTACAAAAGATGTAGACACCAAGGCGCACTACCACAGGCGGGACTGGCCACAGCCGACCGAGTTCTCTGTGAGGAGGAACAATCTCGAAAAACGACTCGCTTCTAAATCTTTTGTAGTCATTTTTTTTATTACTTCAGTGTCAATTCATGCTAATTTTGATTCATATATTGTTTTTTTTTTACGTGAACGAAAATACCCAAATTTTAAAATATTACTGTCCTGTGTGAGGAATAATAGCCATCTTCTATACCTTTTAGGCATAAGCAATTACGAAGTAACACTTACTACCCAGGAACAAAAATTGTGTTACAGAGTGTTATTATATCGCTGAGGCTGATGGCGACACCTTGGGGGGGGCTTCGTCCAGCAGTGGATTGACCATGGCACGTGGCTGCTGCTGATGATGAAGAGGCGAGGGCACAGATTGAGGCCTTTGCAGCAGCTAGCCCGCCATGACAACTCACTACCCAAATTCAGCTTCATGTTTCAAAATAACAGCAGAACTCAATTATATACCTCCATATATATAAACACAATTACTGTATAGTTTAGAGCAGTGGTTCTCAACCGGATACGCGCGGACCCCTGGGGACTACGTGGCAATGTCCCAGAGGGGGGGAGGCAATTGGATCGAAGGTCCCCACCCCACCATTCCTTGTACGAGGGCCCATGCTGACCACGCTCCAAGGCCACTGCTGTGATCACGGCCTGGGGTTCCCCATTGCTCCATGTTACCCATCGCGATGCACTGAGGTTGCCTGTGGTGGAAGGAGCGATATAAGAGAAGGAGGCGGCGAGTGTAGCCATGAGTGCCACTTGAGATTGCCTAGTGCCGGCGTGAGACCAGGAGGGTGGTTGCGAGTGGGTTTGACCTGCGAATCGTGTCACTGCAGCCAACAAAGAGCCTGGCTGCCGAACCGAGTAAATACAGAAGCTGCGTTGAGTGCAGCCATTTACTGATCGATGCAGACTTTTGTACTGGGTGACCGGAAGGCGAATTATCTGGGAGCCTTTAAGAGAGGTCGGGGGGAGGGAGGGGAGATGTGGTGGCCCTGGCTTGAAATATTGCGGAGGTGAAGGAGGGCGGGGGAAGTGGGGGGGGGGGGGGGCATTCAATGTCACCACTGCAGGGACGTGCATCGTACCGCACCGGTGCACGTCTCTCCAAGCAATAAAACATTCGAGAAGGAAAACTGCTGTGAGAAAAAATGTCGTTATTAAAGAAATGCGTTGCCGAGATGGGGGGGGGCAACAACAACAACAGCAAAGGGATTTACACTATGAGATCTCTTTTACCAGTGTCAAAATATAGTAGTAGGTTTTTACCATTTTAAACTGGTACAAAACTGACACCTTTATTCAAGGCATCATGTTTGCAATAACCACAACGCACGTAGTCAAAAAAAGGCAAACAAAAAGAAGCAACTCTGATAATGATAGTGCATATTATTATCATTATCAGAGTTGCTTCTTTTTGTTTGCTTTTTTTGACTACTTGTGTTGTGGTTATTGCAAACATGATGCCTTGAATAAAGGTGTCAGTTTTGTACCAGTTTAAAAGGGTAAAAACCTACTACAACAACAGCGTCAGAAGGATTCTCCTGTTATTGCAGACGTCTCGCGCTGCGTCAAATTGTTGCTTTGTTCACTGCTGACAATCACGGGTGTATTTATTTAAAAGCATTCTGGTACCCGTGTATTATTGCGCGACAATTTATTTTCAGCTCTCTCCTCCTCCTCCTCTCCCTTCCCTCCGCAGTGTCCAGATTCACCAGTGAACCAGGCGCGGGCCACTTCACCCGCATTTGGTTGAGATTAGTCAGTGTGGGATAGAGGCCGACCGAAATTCGGTTTTCGATCGGCCTCTATTGTGGCAAGTCCCGAACAGTCGTAGCTCATGGCGGTGAAGCCTCGGATGCGATCTTTCTCTGTGCACAGAGACGCACGCCACGAGGGAGACGCGGCCGCGATGGATGCTGACGGTGGATGCGCGAGCCACGCATCGAAACCAAATTTTGGTTCGACGCAACATTGTTACCAAAAACAACGCCGACTTGCGTCAATGTAGTTGATGGACTGGAAGGTCGCGACTGCATTTCCGAGAAATTCGTGGCGCGCGCCGCTTTGGGTCACGTGACCGTTCGCCACCCCCCACGCTGCCAGCGATTTGACGCATTGTTACGGCTCAAGAATGGGCGATTGTGGTTTTTTTTGTCTCGCCTCTATCATTTCTCATTTTTTGTTTCATTTTGTAGCACTTGGAATATCATTGGCATGACTTTTAAATGATGGGATCTAAAAAAAAACACAGCAACTTGACGCGTGCATCTCAAGCGACAATCGGTGCGTTCATCTTCTTGGTTCTTTCGGTAAAGTCACGTAGAAGGGAAATAATAAAATAATAAAAATAAAACATAATAAAATAATTATTATTTCCCTTCTACGTGACTTTACCGAAAGAACCAAGAAGATGAATCCCTGCAGTCACGAAAGCTTTAAATCGAAATTTAATCGGTGCGTTGTTGAATGTCCACTCCAATGGCAGAACACATCTCTGTCGAAGTCGACCCAAGCGCTGCGATCACACCGAAGCGATGGCACCAGGGCAGCACTACCGAGAGCCGCACTCCCGTGACTTTGAAATTCCTTTTGCTCGTTATGAACGTTCAACTCGCGTGGCACAGCACCGCACACGTGGGCTTATTGTGGGGTTTTGTTTGTTTGTTTGGGGTCGAGTCTTTCTTCAACGACGAGGAACGTGCTGCGGAGGAATGCAGCTTTCGGAGTGCGCAGGTCACGCAACTGCACTGGGACCCCACGGGCCACAGAGGGGAGGAAGGGGGGGGGGGGTCCCAGGCGCCGGGCCACAAAGAGGGACGTGAAATCGGACAGGGCCCCCCACTCCCCGCCCCCCACCCCCCAATTTAATTATTTGCAACAGAAACCCACGCCAATCCCACCGAGGTCAGCGGAATGCGTCCGTAGTGACAAGCGTGTTTGACGGCGTGTCCGGGCTTAGCACCCCGTGTGATGGGGAGGGGGTGGGGGGGGTACTTTAACCCTGTGGAGTTCGGGGGGACGAGATGGGGAGTGAGGCGTCAGCAAAGCGCAGCCCCCTCCCCCCACTCCCGACCCCCCCCCCCCCCCCCCGAGGCGTGGAGCTTCGAACGCGGATGGTGGAGCGAGCACGAACCTCCCCCTGGGGTTCCAGCCATGGCGGCTCTGTTTGACGCCGATTGACCGAACATCAATAATGATGTAGCCTCGTCCGACCGAGACTTGGTGACGCACGAGTCAAGGTCACGCTGAACGCAGCAGAGGGCACGCGCGTGACGAATAGGAGTCGTCGGGGGGGGGGCGTGCCGAGTTGCCCTCCCGACTGACCGCGAACCGGCACAGCGCGGCCACCCGGTCGACACTGGCCTCGTATGACCCTGGACACTCGTTACTACAGCCGTGCAACATCGTGGTGGGCAATAATTGGCCTTACCTGCCTATTTTAGAGCAACCATTGACCAGGATTGTAGCTCAGTCCAGATCGCTCCGTCCCGACGGCAATGACAATATGGGAATGTGTGTGGGTTTGGGCACGCAACTGGTCTTAAGCCTCCCCTAGGTCGACTCGGCATCAAATGAGTACCTGGTGCGGTGTGTAAACATCGTCACTGGGAGGCAAAGGCGGTCGGGCGTGGTGCAGGTCAGGCAGCCCCCTCGTGTGCCGTGCCACGGCTTTCAGAGGTGCTCGTTCACAGCACTTGCCCCAAAAGTATGTTAAGGCTATAGGGGGATCTTTGTCTTCGTCACGCAGCAGTAATATACAAAAGCCATCTCATACATTTACTGCGGTCAGCTGTACCGCATATGTATGGAGCTGTTTGAGACGTAGTGTTACATAAGAATGGCAAGAATGAGCTGACGTGACAGAATGACGAACGGCCGTTGAAGCAAAGCCGCCACTCTGCTGTGCAGTCGGATGAGAAACGTGGCACAAATGTGGTCGTTGGACAGCAGAGCAAGTGAATTTCACATCCTGGTTGAGAGGTTGACTCAGGCCATCATCCTTTCGAGGTGGATTAAAAAAACGAGTACCGCTTTGCGTAGGAAGTCAACGGTGGTTGTCCTGTGCATAGATTCGCTCCCACCATAGCAATGTGGAATTTCCACCGCTGGCTCAGGACTGTGGACATGGGATGAGTACCAATGCCTCAATGCTCATTTGAGCTGGAAATCACGACGGCGGCCAACATATAGCGATATTGTGACGATTACTGGGTCAGATTCAAGTCTCGACGAAGCCGCCTTAAAGCACCGCGTCAACAATGTTGGCGATTTCCATGATTTCGCTCAAAATCTGACGAGAATAAATATTTTAAATATTCACCAACGCCACGAGACAT